GGCAATCTTGTGTGTGTAGAGCTGCCCTAGGGCGCTCAAGGCTCTGACCTTTCAGAAGCGGATCACCAGGCTTTTCTTCTGAGGCACCTCTGGCTGGGTTCAAACTAGCACCCTTTGGGTTAATAGGGGAGCGGAAAACTGTTTTTACCAGCCAGGGACTCCCAGAGAGGAAGTTAAAAATACAGAGTGGTAAGAAGCTCATGATGCAACAAAAACTGAAAAACCAAACTCACTGCCATCACGTCGAAGCTGACTCAGAGCAACCCTGTAACAGGGTAGACCTGTTCCTGTGTGTTTCTGAGAATGTAACCCCATCTTTCTCCTCCGGAAAGGCTACTGGTTTTGAACTACTGGCCTGGTGGTTAGGGGCCCAACCTGTAACCACTACAACACCAGGGCTCCTTAGGATGCAACAAAGTCAACCTTTAACGCATTTCTTTGGTAATCTCTCTTTAAAAAGTCCTAGGTAGCGTTTACCTTGTCTCTCTAACCCACTTTCATTGAGTTAATTCTGACTCATAGGGAGCCTAGAGGAGAGAGTAGAACTGCTCCCTAGTATTTCTGAGGCTGTAAATCTTTTTGATAGTCCACCACCTCACCTTTCTCCCTCAGAGCAGTTGGTGGGTTTGAACTGCTGACCTTGTGGTTAGTAGTCCAACTTTTAACTCACTATCCCACCAGGCCTCCAAATCCACTAACATCAAATCAATTCTGACTCATAGCAACCCATATAGGGTTTCTAAGACTATCTTTCCTAGAGCAAACTATCATCTTTCTTCTGGCTGATAAGTTTAAGTTCGAACCACAGACCTTATGGGTGCTTAACAGTGGCATAACATCTCTCATCCACAGTGTCACCAGGGCTCAGAAAAGAATCCCTGACTGGGCATTGAACCTGAATCCTAACCACTAGACCTCCTCTCAAGAAGCTATTTCATGTGTGTCCGAAGATATGTGACCATCAGGCAGATAAAAGAATACCGTGTAAACTATACATAAACGCACCAACCCCCCAAAACCTGCCTCTATCAAGTTGGTTCTGACTCATAGTGACTCTATAGGACCAAGGAGAATTGTCCTGTTGGATTTCCAAGGCTGGAAACCCTATGAAAACAGACTGCCAAATCTTTCTCCCATGGAGCCACCAGTGGGCTTGACCCACAAGCCTTCAGGTTAGCAGCCCAGTGCTTGCTTAACCACTGTGCCACCAGGCCCCTTTTCAAGGTCACACTGGTTCCTCCAAAATAACAAGCCATGCTAACCACGACTCCTGAGATGAGGACCCTACCCCATCCAATTGTGTCCTACACCCATGACGACATTGACAGTGCTTGTGACTGGAAGGTGGTGCCATTGTGTATAAGCACATGGCACGGGGACACAGGAGTCTGTGTATAAAAGTGGCAACTTTATTTATTAGCTGTTCACAGTCCCACTACTGAAACATACTTCCAGGGTCAAGAACATGAAAACAAACTAAAATCATTTTCATTCAGCCCAGTGACATCAGCCAGGATTCCCAGTGACCCTCTTGTACGTTTTCTACTCCTGGGTGGTCTCCGGCATGCTCTTCCCAGCCTTGTACTCAGCTGACAGCTTCAGTTACATTGCCTGCTCCCTCCGTGTCGTATTAGCCCCAAAGGGCACGGGAGGGTCCTAGGAGAGTCAGGGAGAGCATTATAATTGGGAGCAGGAAGTCAGATATGTTCAGATTCCGGGAGGCCAAGACCTCAGCTCTTGAAACAGTGGCGTTAATCCATTTGTAGTAGTATATCACGCTGGTGTAGACAGAAGGGAAAGTTGAAGCACATCCCATTCCCCAGCTTATCACTCCTATCTGGATCCACATGCCGTTAATATCGCATGACAGAGGGCCTCCAGAATCACCCTAAGGAACAGAGAAAGGTCCAGAGTACAGTGAAAAGGGACCACAGAGAAGAGGCCAACGAGACATCATAGGGGATGGAGAGTCCTTTCCAGGGAGCTGTACTGCCCACTGCCTTATGGCGAGATCCCGGTAGTTCTAGAACCGTAGCATCTGAAAGTGGCAAGGTTCTTAGCTAAATATACCCAGATTCCAAAATCCTATAGAACTGCCCCTGTGGATTTCCAAGACTGCTTACACAAAGGAATGATTTGTAGTATGTTTACAATGCTGTGCAGCCATTTCATTACATTCATTTTAGAACCCTGCCATTACACCCAGACTTCACCCCAGCTCCACCATCCCTAGGCAACCAGTTATCTGCTTTCTGTCTTTGTAGTGTTTTTTCATTCTGGATATTTCATATGAATAGTATCAAACAGTTATAGTTGTTTGTGTCTGACTCTTTTAACTTTGAATATATGAGGAGATACCCCCAAAGCCCCGATGCTCATTTGTTTTTTTGATGTGAGGGGGATAGTGCATTTGTAGTTCATTCCACCAGGTGAGACTGTTGATCAAGTTTTCTATTTAGAGGTTCTGAAAAGATAGCGTAACTGTGCGACAAAAAAGGTATGATTTATGGCAGACGGGGGACAGGTTTTACCACCACGACACTGTACCTGCTCATGCAGCAATTTCAGTGATCTAGTTTATGACAAAAACAGCATGCCTCTCTTGCCCCATGCACCTTACTCACCTGACCTCACTCTGTGTGACTTCTTTTTGTTTCTGTGAATCAAGAGGAACATGACAGGATAGCAATTTGGTGATACAGAAGAGGTGAAGAGTAAAACGAGGTGTAGTCAGCCATCCAAACAGACGAGTTTGAAAACTGTTTCCAAGAATGGAATCGCAGATATGACATATGTATTAAGTGTAATGGAGAGTACTTTGAAGGTGATAAGGTTGTTTTGTAAAAAAAATTAAAAACATAGCTTTGGGGGGAAAATCCATTTTGGGGGTTACCCCCTTGTAGGTTCCCACACTTAATTGGTCTACTGCCTCTTTGCAGGAAAAAAAAAAGTCCCCTGGTAATTGAAAAAAAATGGACTTTAATATTCCATTGTATGAGTATACTTCATATTGTTTACCCATTCACAAGTGGATGGATAAGTCTACTTTTTGGCTATTAAGAAACTTGCTGTTACAAATAATTCATGTACATGTTTCTATGTGAACATATGTTTTCAATTCTCTTAGGCATATACCTAGCAGTGTAGTTGCTGGGATGTATGAAAATTATGGTTAGTATCTGGGGGAAATGCTACACTGTTTTCCAAAGTAGTTGTACCATTTTACATTCCTACCATCAGTATATGAGAGTACCAGCTCCTCTTCTTCCACATCAACTCCTGTTAACACCTGTCTTTTTTATTGTAGCCTTCCTAGTCTCCGAAACTCTACAGAGGGTCATGCGACATCGGAATTGGCTCGATGGCAGTGGGTTTTTGGAATGAGTAAAGTAGTATCTCTGTGTAGTGCTAATTTGCATTTCCTGTTGAACACTGAGTTTGAGCATTTTTTCCTGTGCTTTATGGCCTTTTGTAAATCTTTGAGGGAAAAAATGTATTCTTTTTTTGCCCAATTTTTACATGGGTTATTTATCCTTTGAAATCAATATTTATATTGATGAAATATGTATATAAGTTGAAGTCCACTTGAGACACCTGAAAATAACAACAGTTAATCAGTGTTTATTACTGATATGTTAGGCCAGTTTCTCTAGAGAAGCAACACTTGTGATATGTGTATTGGGCATGTGGGTGTGTGTGTGACAGGAATGTAGAGACGGAGAGAACTTTGTATCAAGGCAATGGCTCACACAATTGGAGAAAGTGTAAGTCCAGTTTGATTTCAAGTCTGTGAGTCAGATATTAAGCATCTGACTCAGCTGCAAGGACTGCAGGTGTGACCATTTTAAAAAGGTGTGGCTTACAAGGTTTTGGTTTTAATCAAAGGAGAAGAGACGAGGCAAAATAATACTTGGAGAAATCATAACTGAAAATTTTCCTAGTTATCATGAAAGCCATACATGTGTAGCTTTAAAAATCCTACACAGAAAGTCAGTGAGTCTCAGGTAAGATAAATACTAAGGAAAATGCCATCATGTTCTCACAGCTAGAAATCAAAGATAAGGCAGAAATATCAAAGAGAGCCTGAGCAAGACAACGCACTGTACACACTGGTACAAAAACAGAAATAGTGGTGGCGCTTTTCATCAGACAGTTATGCTCAGAAGACAATGGAAAGGTGCTTGCAAATACAGAGTGAAATGTTCTTCTTAGTTCAATATAAAGTAGTTCTGTGTCACTCTCTTTGTAAATTTCACAGGTCTTTTTAAAAATTTTTAATCATTTTATTATGGGCTCATACAACTCTTATCACAATCCATACACAATCTTTACACAATCAATTGTGTAAAGCACATCTGTACATTCATTGCCCTCATCATTCTCAAAACATTTCCTCTCCACTTAAGCCCCCGGCATTA